AAAAAAAAAAAAAAGAAAACTAACGAGTTCACATAAAAAGGAGGAGGAAAAAAAAAGGGGGAAGTGCCCTAAGTCACACCTACCTTAGCATTTGGAATAGGGAAGCAACTTTAGAAGTGATCGAAACAGGGCCAAATTAAAAAAAAAAAGCCAATGGAAAAAAAAAATCTGCAGGCATGCCACTTCAAAAGAAGGGCCATAAACAAAAAAGCCAATGAAAAAAAAAATCTGCAGTCATGCCACTTCAAAAGAAGGGCCATAGTTTCCACAACCCCCCCCCCCCCCCCCCCCCCCCCCCGCTAAACTTGACTTGAACAATTTCTGAAACTCGAACGATTACATTAGGCGCCACGTTGTGTTTTCTGGCCTAATATTTCAAACGAAAGAGGTGACTAAGGAGCAGTTTTCACACCCCTCCCCCCACCCCGTCCCATACTCAAACTAGGACTTTTCTAAATGCATCTGACTGCAAATACGTCCAGAACCTGAATGCATCTGAGCGCAATCTCACGTCCAAAGCTGAGAACAATAGAAAGTCCTTTCGCGTGACTATGCTCTCATACAGAACATGACTGTTGGTGCTATTCTTATTCCATTGTCATAGCCTCATAGGTTTTTTTTTTTTGTTTTTTTTTTTAAGAAAGGGCGACGGCCTTGACATATCGCACACCATCCTCCTTTGGTGTGCGAAATCAAATGACCTGAGTCTTAAAATAATAATAATAATTAATAAAATAGTAAAATACTAAATAAATAAAGTAAATCAGCATAGAACTGACAGCCGCCACGTAATTCTGGACTCTAGTACTTCTATTCAATGTTCATACCCTTGGAATGGAGTTTGAACCCAGGTCTCCATTTCAACAGTTAAGTTAAGGGGCCATGTCCCACTTGTCAAGATTAAGTTATGGTTTCAAGTGTCGAGATTAAGTTATGGTTTCAACTTTCAAGAATATACATGGCTCACTACCATTCGATCTGGAAATCTAGTGGCCATGGCTCACTACCATTCGATCGGGAAATCTAGTGGTCGCAGTGTGACCACGTTGAAAAATACAAAAAAAATGAACTAAACCCCCGGCGGTGGTGGGACACGGCCCCAGGGGGTGTTTGTACCAACTGAGCTATATAGACCAGTTGGTGAAGAGGGGGAAATTATTGGAATGGATTCTTTTGCGGGGGGGAAGAGAAGGGGAGAGGGGGGGGGGGCGAACTACCGAATTTACAGCGTAGCACAACCGGACCGGAAGAACTCTACTCAAGAAGGGGAAAAAAAAAAAAAAAACCTCTACCGAAGCCTGCAGCGTACAGAGCGTCCAACAACGTCGCACATCCACCGAACGTAGTCCTTCGAAACACATCTGTTAAAATTGGAACGCTACAGAGAAAAAATCATAATTAAAAAATAAATAAAAAAAATGGAACGTTACAAAGAAAGAATATTGTTTAATTAGCATGGTGGCCATCTGAGCCACCAAATGATGACGTCACAAATAAATGGGCAAATCCACCCAACAGGCTTGGAAGAATCGGCGGGGAAAGAAGACTCTGCTCAGCTTGACTGTGAAACGACTAGACATGTGCAGAATACGTGGGAGATCTAAAGAGTCTAAAGATTAAAAAAAAAAAAAAAAGACAACCATCCACCCAATCTCCCAACGTGGCTGAGCTGAGCGAAACCGGAAATATACCTGATCGTACAAGTACAGCGTCCCAGCGTCGCACAACCGGACACCGTTATGAATCTCAACGTCGCACAGCCGGAAATACCTGCTCTACAGCGTCGCACGACCCCAACTCGACAAAATCAATATCAACAAGGGGTCCACCAAATCGCAGAAACAAAAAAAAAAAAAAAAGAGTCCTAAGTCCTAGACTAAACAAAAAGGGTTTGAAGAAGAAATCTCTATACATCGGCGAGCATTATTATTATATACAAACCAACAAATTATACCAGGGACATGCAGCGTACCATGGCCACATACTCCACATGCAATCTACCTCTCTCTCTCTCTCGCTCTCTCTCTGAGCCTCGCTCTCTATCTGTTACATGTGACACATAGTCCGCCTGAAATTCTCTCTCTCTCACTCTGT